TGAAATGAGAAAACATAAAGATTTGCAGTCTAATTTCATTGATTGTTGCAACATAAATATGGGTGAATACTTACAAATAAAACCTTTGAGATTGATTAATAATTCTGCAAGTTGTGCTACATAGTAGCCTGATCGATAAAAGAAAGTTTCAGAGTATAATCATGAATTATCCGTGATACAACTAGGTCCTTTTTTTCAGCTCCTCTGTTGATGGACAGCTAGGTCCTTTAACAGCTGAAAGATAGTGATACAATTATGTCATACTCAAAGTAGTAGAAACATGAATAAGCCAATTATACCAACTCATATATCCATTCACATAACCTCCATTAAGCCAGATGCCGAGGTGCTGCTTGGATGCCCTAGACTCAGCTTCAGAGAAGCAGTATAAATACAGAAGAAAGTTTTGTAACCTGCTGGCTGCTGGAACATGTATATCTCTTGTCATCAAACACAGATGGCTTCAAGTTTAATAGGATCCCTGATAAGGGCAAAACATAGTTCCTGATGTTTGGATAAACAAATAAAAACCACAAAATGAGTTGAAGACAATATCAAATCCTTCAAAACAGATTCTAAAACCACTTAATCTTGGATGAGAAAAGTAGAATTGACTAATTACCAATGTAGGGACAGATGGCAAAGAAGGAAGCACAATCAATTTCAAGCCACGTAATTTTTTGGACTTGAAAAATAATAGTGGTTGATTTCCAAATATGATTGTCTTGACTGAAGAAAATTAGAAGGCAGGAGAAAGACAACAGTGGAGGGCTATCACAGAAGGAGCCTCAAGCCCTCAGGAGATCAAGTTAGCCATGGGAGTGTTTAACTAAATTGATAGATGAAATAGGAGAGAAATTCATACATACCTTTGGTCTACTATGGCGTATGTAGGTATTGGAAAAATAATGTGATTAAAGAAATTAAGATGTTGAGTGTGATAGTCAACAGTCACATACATTAAACAAAAAGTTTGTCAAATCTGTTTTAGAGCTTATTACAACAAAGTAAAACAAATTATTTAAAGAAACAATAAAAAGCTTTAATTAAATGAAGTTCATCCACAACACTAAATAGAAAATTACAACAGAGATGGCATTGCATTCATGTGAGTGTGATTTGTGAATCCCAATTTTTTTCTTGCATTGGTAGAAAGGTTGCTGAGTTGAAGAAATAGGTACGAGATGGTAGATATGCAGCCTGCATCAACATGTATGGAGAAATCACTTAATTCTAAGGATGCAAATAATAGTCAGCAAAAGGAAAGAAAAAAAGAAAACATGTTCCTGAAAACATAAATATATATACCTGATTGATATTGAATGAATGACTCAGGAAAGCTTGCTCGCTAGGAATGAATAATTTAAAAAGGAATTAGCATCCAATTAAGGTAGATGAACATCTCATCAAAAGCAAATCAACAGACATATATACCTGAGCTGAGCTGGGCTGGGCATTAGAAATTGTCAAAAAAAATATACGGTTCGACAGAACCATATTTAATGTTTACCCAATGGCCATAATCGTCGCTGTGTGAGTAATCAAAAATGGTATTAGCAAGATAGACATCTTAAGAGCAAATCAATCAAGATTAGATTATTAAGCAAATCATCGAAGATTAACACCTGGATTCATTCAGAAACAAGAGATAGAAACATTTATTTATGAAATACCAGTGAGAGAGAAGGAATGGAATGCAAATGATGGAAAAAAGGGAGAGTAATGAGACTTACCTATCATATTCCATGAAAGGTAGGAGGACATACTGATCGTCAGGATTCTCCCACTCCAACGATTCCCACCATTCTTTTGGATTTTCAATATGGATTTCTTTCATAGCAGCAAGAGATGGTTGCCCGTTTTCCCTTCCAAGACAGAGGGGAATCCTCTTGACCTCAGGGCAGAAGCTTATATAAATGGAATTGAGAGAATCACAAGCCATTACTGCTCCTTCAGGGCAGATTCTGTTCAATTTATATAGGGATTGCAACCTCAATATCCTTAATTTTGGAAGAGGGATCAACATTGGAGTAGTTGTTTGATTTCCTACCTTTTCTTCTTCCCATCGTATTATTTCCTCCATCCCCTCGCACTCCTGGACTATAATCTGCTCCAAGTTTTGGAGGCCTTGACCTCGCAGCAACTCCCATGGAAACAGCTTCTTCAATTTTGGACAATTCCATACCCTCAGGTGTTTAAGATTAGAAAAGATGTGAAGGGATATTGTCGGTGCAAGCGACGCTGTTGTGTTTTCTATTTTCACAATGTCCCGCAAGCTAAGCAAACGGCAAAGACATAGCTTTTCAAGGTTATTCATAGCTGTCAAGGAAGAAGATGAAGATGACGACGAGGAGACCACACACTCTATCCCTTTGCAGTCTCTCAATTCATATGTTTGCAATTGAGTCAAATTTTTCAGAAAAATAGAACTATCAGTGACCGTATTGCAGCCTCCAATCCACAAATTCCGAAGGTCATCTGGAAGCACCAACTCATCTTCATAACCTATCTCGCAGTCGAATAAAGCTACCTTTCTGAAAAGATCATCGTTGTTGAATTCCCCAAAATACTCCCCCTTCTCTTTTTTGAGGTCAGTCTCCAGTCCCACACCGAGCAAGTAATTATTGGGTCTTCCAAAATGGTTCAACTCGCTAACAAAACTGTTGAGGTCCTTCAGCTGATCAAATCTACCTTCAAAACATTCCAGCATGTTCAATCTTGCTACTTCTTCTGCTCTTATATCAGTTGAAAAAATCGGATTTTTACGTAGGTATTGGAGGCGAAAGAGCTTACTGATTTTTCCTCTTGGTAGTACCTTCAACTCTGGAGCAGATAAATCAAGATATTCTAGATTTTCTAACATTTCAATGCCTTCAGGAGCCACACAAAGGCCCGCTCCAGCCAAATCCAACTTCTTCAATGCTTTAAGCTTTGACAAGGAAGGCATGTGTTCTAAACACGTACATCCACAGAGAATCAGTGCTGTAAGATTTTTTAAGCTACATATGGAATTAGGTAGAGCCTCAATGCCAGTATAAGAAAGATTAAGAAACTTCAGTAGGGGCATGTTTGCTAGAAAACACTCTGGAATTTGGTTCAATTCTCCGCTGGCCTCCAAAATTAAGGTTGAGAGCATCAAGCGTTTGGGGAACATATTTATAGGGATATATGATATTTCACTGCCCATAAGGGAAACCTTGTCTAGATCTTCAGCCCATTCATCCCCCTTTGGTATCTTTGTGAATCTCATATTAGCTTTCACCATGAACTTACTTGGACCGGTGCTTTTAACACGCAATGCCATGTCCCTCACAACATCATGCATCTTAACACCTTTTCCATATTTGCTATGGCCTTTCTCTAACAGACAATTGTTTTCAAGCCTATTTAAAATTTCATGTCCTCTATCATGCATTTCTCTTCTGCTCCCTAATTTTTCAACAAGTCCCTCACAAATCCAACGTTCAATTAGATCTGCTCTTTGAATCACCCAATCATCTGGATACAATGAGCAATATGAGAAACATTCTTGGATGCTTGAATTTGTTAGACGGTCATAACTGAACTTCAAACGTTTAAATATCTCATCTTCTGAATCTTTCTCTGTACCCACCACACAGTCACACAATTGACGTAATGCACTTCTCCACTCACGAATATCTCTTACGCCTGTCATGCTCCCAGCAATGACGACAATGGCCAATGGCAAACCAGCGCATTCTGCCACCATATCCTTCAAAATATTTTCCAAATTAGGAATTAGTAGAATGTCGTGTCCAACCTTATCTAAAAACAAGTTCAAAGACTCTTGCTGTGGAAGAGGAGGCACCTTCACTATCTGACATCTGAAGTAGTTGCATACATCAACTGATCTACTAGTAATAACAATTTTGCACCCATTTTCTATTGTTGGTTCTGGTATTCCAACTCTTTGAAGAGTAAATTTATCCCACACATCATCTAAGATCAATGCATATTTCTCTGTTTTCATAATCTCCATCAATCTAGATGCCCGCTCCAATTCATCACCATCTTTTGGAAGACTTCTGTTCATTTTTCTAGCAATGTCATCTTGTAATGTTACAACACTAAGTGACTGTGACACTGTAACCCAAATAATCTTTGTAAACTCGAGAGGTTTTTTCAGTAATTCATTATGGATATGTTTCATAACAGTGGTCTTGCCAACACCACCAATTCCACAAACTCCAATCATTCCCTCACTACCTCTCAAGTATCCCCAAATTTTTTCCTTCACATCAACCTCGCCCACCATCTTCTCTGTTGGCAAAGGGATTCCAGTAGTTTGAGGCCTTTCAATTACAAGACCTTCAGGGAAACCACCTCGATCATAAATTTCCCTCACCTCTTGAATCTTTTGACGAACACGTCTTCCGAGGCTACCACGTGACAAGTATGAAACATTCTGCACCTCTTCTTCAATATCTGGCATTTCGATTTCAATGACCATTCTTGCATCTTCAAGCCATCCCTGCACTTCTTCTCTAACTTGTGTTTCCAAGTCATCCACTGTTAGTAGTTCTGCTACTCTATCATTTCTTTTGCGCTTTAGACAAGCCACTCTTTGTCTAAGATCATCCACATCATTTTGGAAGTTTCTGTGACAATCTACATGTTCGCTTGCTACACTTCCAAAAACTGACCCTATAATGGACTCCATGAAGGAAATTTCTAAAATGAAATAAAAACTTGTATTATTAAAATGTTTGTTTAGGTAGTGTAAACTTACAAGCAAGGAAAACAAAAAAGTAACTAAGATATTCGTTTTTTTTTTTCCTTTTTTTCATTCTCTAAAATTTTACAATGTTAAATTATTTAGTATTGTAACTACTTTCCATCATTTTCTAAAAAAATATACTGACAATAAATTTTCACAACAAATTTCTAAGGGTTTTTTAACATGTAAAAGAAAGTGCAAACTAGTATTAAATCTCTTACTTCATCCAAAAGTAACTATTACTCATAATTTATCTTAATTAATTTTTTAAACAAATAAATATTTTTTATACTTTAA